TTCATGTTAAAAAAAATAAAGTCTTAACTGTTGTGGTTCTGTTAACTTCGTCGTTATTTTTTCATATTTGGTAAAGGAAAGTCTTGAAGTGTTTCTTATACTCGAAATAACCTCCAGTCATCCTTCTTTTCTTTTCGCATTCTGTGCTTCGGCCACAGTTAATCCCAGACGATAGGACATGAGATGTTTTTTCTTGAGCGTAGCAAGAATGGTGTTCCGTATACTCTTTGATTTCTTCATCTATGTACAATATAATTTAGGCACTTCAACGTAGTAACAAACTTGTCTCATTGAGATCAATTACGACTGAATTGTGAGTTCGATCCTCCCTGGGTACTCCATACTTTCGGCCTTGTGCCACAACTAGGCTATGCTTAGAAAACGTACTGTATAATTTGGGCATGTCGACGTAGTGTAATGGTTAACAAGCTTGTTTCATTGAGATTAATTACAACTGAATTGTGAGTTCGATCCTCACTGGGGACTCCATACTTTCGGTCTTGTGCCACAACTAGGCTATGCTTAGAAAACTTACTGCATAATTTGGGCATGTCGACGTAGTGTAGTGGTTAACAAGCTTGTTTCATTGAGATTAATTACGACTGAATTGTGAGTTCGATCCTCACTGGGGACTCCATAATTTCGGTCTTGTGCCACAACTAGGCTATGCTTAGAAAAACGTTTATGTACTATATAATTTGGGCATTCGACGCGGTGTAATGGTTAACAAGCTTGTTCCATTGAGATCAGTTATGACCCAGTTGTGAGTTAGATCCTCCCTGGGTACTCCATACATTCGGCCTTGTGCCACTACTAACCGTCACTTAGAAAATCACAGGGTACTCTGACATGGTGCAATAGCAATCTTCTGTCGCTATCAGTTTTTACTAAGTAATGAGTCCGATCAACAAACGGTGCTCCATTTTTTCGGCCTTGTGCCACCTTTAAGATATTATTAGATAATCTCTATAGAATTTTTTTTTTTCGCCGCTGCAAATAACGTTTTTCTTTTGTCTATTTTTTTAGTTGTTTTTTTTTTTTCTTATCCGTCATTTTTTTCTCTGTATTTATCCTTTTTCTATATAATTCCACATCTTTTCCGTATCTCTTCCAATCTGCTCCCATCCTTGCACCTAGGCCCGTGTTTATCTTCTCACCAGCTCTTTCGCGGATAAAGACTCTCGCCATCCTGGTCAGCGATTGCAGTCACGTGTATAGCCACGTGCCTTTACCTGATGCACGTTCCTCTGCTCCTCCTCCATCTTCTTCTTCTTCTTCTTCTTCTTCTTCTTCTTCTTCTTCTTCTTCTTCTTCTTCTTCTTCTTCTCGGGCGTATCCTTATCACTTCACCCCATCCACTTAACCCGTGGAATCAAGCCCGAAAACCGCTTATCGATTTACCCCCAAACCTATTAATCTCAAGATCTCTTAGCACTAAAATTGCATGGGCTATCAAGGAGAGGCGGCTACACAAACGCGTCTTACTCTAACTTCACTTGTCACTGGAGAGATATTATGAGATGAGAAATAAAAGGAACGTTTATTAGTCTAGAAGTGGGCAGATTTAAGTCTTTTATATATTTAGCTGACTACAGAACAATAGCAAAACTATATGGTAGCTAGTGTTGGATGAAATTATAATGTTAGCAAAGTCCAGCAAAGCCAGTTAGCTAAGTTACTCCCAGAAATCAAATATTCTTCTATGTGCTATAACACTTCACAGCGTAGGCGATCACGGCTCTCCACAATTTCCTGTCACTTGTAAAGCTAAATAAACATCGTCTTTTTGTTATCTCTACTAAAACTGATGAGATAAGGTGTAGGTGAATGTGGAGATGCACAGTCCAGAATTTGTCTTCCCTGTCCGTTCTCTGAAGTCCGCTTCGTCCCTTCTGTGTGACCTTTCGCGAGATGATCAGTTTTATAGATAAATTTTTTCTTTGTTTTATCATACTCCTCTAAAAAATGTAATTTATTTTCCTTCCGTGATATTCTCCCTGTCTGAGCCTCTTGCTCTCTACTTTGAAGTCGACTTCACTTACTGACAACTATCGGTCGAAAGTAAATGTTCCGTATCCATTTTCGCGACAGGTCTAGCTATTTTCAGTTTAACGAGACCTCAGCTGACTCCTATTGCTACACTGTCTTGTCTTCAATCTATCCTTTCTAGTTTTCCAAACCCACTTTCCTTTAATTATTTGCTCGGGAAAATTTAGCTGTCTATTCTTGACGTTTAAGTTTCCTTTTTTGTTTCCATTTACTCGAATGTGTCGTCGTTACACACAACTTCGATCTATGGTATCCCCAGAATCCATCTGTAGACCCACATATCTGTTGCTTTAAATTTCTTCTACATATGTGACGAGATTATCTCACATTCTCTATCATATAGGAAGACTGATATCACGTAGCAGTTCAAAAAACTTTTCTTTGTTTTGTAATGATTTGTTTCTGTTTCTTAATACTTTGCTTAACTTTTAGAAGGCACCTTTCACTATTTCAGTGTCGGATTTTCCGTCCTCTGTTAAAACATTTTAACGATATATAATTTTTTCTATTTGTTTGATTTTGGTATTCCCATTTTGTAACTTGCATGTTGGGCTGTCCTTTTTGCTAACAACCATGGATTCCGTCTATATGCAAATGATGCTTAGTCCTTTCTTCTGGCTTTCCTTCTCTGTATTCTTGTAAATTACTTTCCGTGTTCTATTATCAACTCTGTGGAAATGGGACAGCATTTTACATAGATGAAGCACTTTTAAAGGCTTAGGCAATTGATGTAGACCAATAGGATAGCCAATGGCGTAGTTCAATGCATATCGTCATAGACTTAATCTCTGTCGTACTTACATGTCCGTCTGTATTTATGACGGACGCCAGCCAATCATATTCTAGTGAGGAGAACTTAGGTGTATGCATATTCCATTATATATATATATATATATATATATATATATATATATATATATATATATATATATATATGTGTGTACTAGCAGTAGAGCCCAGTGTTGCCCGGGGATGTAACAGTAAGAGATAGATCAAGTATCGACCATCATAAAGACGGAAAAATAAAATTGACACAAATTATTGTTTAAGGTTGACGGACACGCATGTCTTAATTAGTTTTTTTTAGTTTTTTTACGAATTGGTCAAACCCAAACTCAAACAAAAACATTGTTTTCAATCGTTATAAGTCTACCGATTGAATAGAATTTTTCAATTTTATTATAAACAATTGTCTTGTAAATGGAATTTTTAAAGCATTCTGAATGTAAAAACAAAGAAAAAAGTGTGCAAGACAATAAAAAAAACTACCTGCCAAAAAAAGGGAAGTTTTGTTGAAATCAGTTGAAAAATGTAGGAAATCCGATCCCATATATAAACGAACACACACACACACACACACACACACACACACACACACACACACACACACACACACACACACACACACACACAGACACACAACCAACCTGGGTTTTATAATAAGTATAACTCCATAACTCGATATTAATAAGTATAACTCGATATGAGTTGTCCCCCTTTCATTAATGCCTCTTAATCTTGTTTTCAAATTGATTTCGTGCAAAAACAATTGTGTTTTTCCAATTTTTTATGCTATCAGAATCACCGCAAGGTAATTTTACATAGTCCTGTGAAGTTTTGTTGAAATCAGTTTGAAAAATGTGAAATCCCATCAATATATAAACGAACACACACACACACACACACACACACACACACACAACTTCGGTTTTATAATAAGTATTATATATATATATATATATATATATATATACACGCAAATAAATATGATAAAAATGATATATATACACAAATACTAGCGCCTACGTAAGTGTATTTTTATTCTTAAGTTGTTATGAAAACAGTGCTCAGTGTTATGGAACAGAGTAAATAAACATAATATACAACGTCGATTTCTTGTAGTTAATACAATCTTCGGGCGAGAATTCCGACAGTTATCGTGATGGTGATTCAAAATTGGGTTTCCAAACTTGTCAATTATTAACTAATTAAATTAATAATTTATATTAACTAATTAAATTAATAATTTATATCGTTCAAATTCATAAGTTCGAAATTTGGAGAATGAAGACTTATAATAAATAAATAAATAAAAATATCTTAAATTTGAATTTCTTTCGGGAAGTAAACAATATATCAAGGCCGGTAACTTTCGTGTTTTTAGCGTAGAAACCGGAGTTATATTCGTTAACATAAACACTAACGCTGATTAGATATATAATATAAGGGTGCAAAAATAAATAAATAGATGAGTAAATAAATAATAGGATGAGACTATATATCTAATATTTTTATAACGATGAAATTATATTTTAAAAATTAATCGAGCTCAATAATATTGCATTGAATGTGTTTATATGTATATAAGGAAATTTATAGGTAATGACTTCTGAGGGTATTAACAGTTGTGTGCATCATATTATTATTCCTAAAATCCATTATGCAATCACTTTTAATCGAGGTCAATGAGCAGGTATTTTGATTTGTGGATGCATGTAGACATTAACTCGGACCTTGTGTCCAGCAAGTTAGTATTATTTAGATGCTTTAATATAATAAGCTACTCCACCAAACATAAGTCACATATATCTCTCTCTCTCCGTTGTATGGCTTAGTTTTCGCGATTGTCTCCCAATTAACCGACGTGTTCTTATGATTGTTTTTTAATCGCCAAGCATAATTTGAAAGCGCTTTTTGCATTTGATGTTGCTGAGTGTCATTTTGTGGTGGTAGAAACTCGATTTCCAGCTATTCCCAGTGGATCCAAAGTATTATTTCACATCTCCGTTTGATTTTATGCTTGCTCTGTATATAATGCTTTCTGTCATGCACTGCCCATTTAATCGAAAAATTGCGTTTTTACGGCAGTTGCGCTGACTTTTAGTAGGATAATTATGTAGTGTTTCGTTGGATTCTTGCTTAATACATTATTGTTATGTTGGGTTATGTAATTATCTGTACAAAAAATAGATAATAGATATCGACGTTGAAATAGATAATAGATATCGAGATGAAGAACAAATAGAAGGAATGAGAGGAAAGAAAGAACAAATAAAATATATAGAGGAAAATTGAAGAAAATGAAGAAGAAAGAGGGGAGGAGTATTTGAAGAAGAAGAAGAAGAAGAAGAAGAAGAAGAAGAAGAAGAAGAAAAGAAAGTGGAAAGGAGAATACTTAGAAGAAGAATTAGAATAAAAACGGGAGAAGAAGAATATTAAGAAGAAGAAGAAGAAGAAGAAGAAGAAGAGGAAGCAGATTAAGAAGAAGAACTAAGGGAAAGATAATAATAATAATAATAATAAGAAGAAGAAGAAGAAGAAGAAGAAGAAGAAGGAGGATGAGGAGGAGGAAGAGGAAGAGGAGACACCGGGAGAAGAAAAAGGGAGCAAACGAAAATGGGAAAAAGAAGATTGAATAATAATAATAATAATAATAATAATAATAAAAAGAAGAAGAAGAAGAAGCAGAAGAAGAAGAAGGAGGAGGAGGAGGAAGTGGAGAAGAGGAGGGAAGAAGGAGAAGAAAGAGAAGATGAAGAAATAAGACGAGTAGGATGAGAAGAAGAAAAAGGGTAGAGAAGGAGGAGAAGAAAAAAAGAAGGACGAAGCAAAGTAAAATAATTGAATAATAATAACAATAAGAAGAAGAAGGAGAAGAAGAACAAGAACAAGAAGAATGAATATGTTGAAGAGTAAGAATTTGCAAAATGGAGATAAAAAACATAAACATAAAGAATAGTACAAGGAAGAAAGAAGAAAGGAAAGAAATACAGAAAATCGGAAATGAATGAAAGATGCTTGGCGATTGAAAAGTTGAAGATGAGAAGAATTAAACATAAATGATAAGAGGACGAGACGCCAGTGAATGAAGAAGAAAAATGAAGAAGAAGAAGAAGAAGAAGAAGAAGAAGAAGAAGAAGTTATCTGGAAAGTGGTGAGTTATAAGGGTTATAAGATTAACGTCACGAAAGAAATGGAGGAAGGGATTATGAAATGATGAGTCGGCTTGTAAAAGCCTTGTGGTTATGAAGATTATCTGTACATAAAGAATGAAAAAAAGCGAATAAATAAGGAGTGGTTAGAAAGAGCGTAAAAGGACAAATGAAAGGGGAAAGAATAACGGAAAGAAAGGAAGAAAATATTTTGGAAAGAGAAAAGGAAGAAAGAGAAAGAAAACGAAGAAAGAACCGCAAATGGAAAAGAAAGAAGAAAAAAAGAAAGAAGGAAACAAAGAGGGGAGATAGAAGTAAATCAGGACGAGAATGAAATAACAGGGAAACTAGAGGGGAAACGAACAAAGAAAGAAAAGAAATTAGAAGAAAAAAATGAAGAAAAAAGAAGAAAGGAAGAAGAAAAACAAGAAGAAAATGAGTAAAAAAAGAAGATAAAAAAATGAATGGAATGCAGAGGTAAAAAGAAAAAAGAAGTAAAAGATTAAAAGAAAAGAGTGGGAAGTGAAATGGCAAGAGAAAAAGATGAAGGAAAGGTTTAAAAAAAGAAAAAAAGAAATGATGCATATGTAGGATAAAAAGGGAAAACAAAAAAAAATTTAACAAAAAGGGAGGAAAAGGTTTAAGAAAAAAGTAAGAAAGAAATGTATAGAAAAGGAAAGAAATGAATCAAATATGGGAGAAAAAAAGAAATAAAGAAAATGGAGCAGAAGAATAGGTAGAAGAAAATAAAAGAAGAAACAAATGTACTAAAAAAAGAGGAATAAATGTTTAAAAAAAAAAGATGACGAAAAACCGGCCGAAACGTTGTAATAAATATAGCGAGAAAGATGAAGACAATAGTCCGAATAATGTAAATAGCGTACATAATACCTCATCTCAGAAATATAGACAGATACTGAAATAAAAATGATTAAAGAAATCCTAGAAGAAAAATATACCTCGGTGGAGCAAATGAGTAGAAGGCACAAACAAAAAGAAAGAAAAGAAGAAGAAGAAGAAGAAGAAGAAGAAGAAGAAGAAGAAAACAAATGTATAGAAAAAGCTAAAAATGTAAAATGAAAAAAATAAAGAGGCAATTGTAACGGAAGTAAGGAAAGAAGGAGAGGTTAAAAAAAACAAATATATATAAAAAAAAAGAAAAGAAAAATGAAAAAAATGTATGAAAAAATTTTTAAAAATGATGAAGGAGAAAAAGACGATGAAGAAAATTAGATAAAGACGCTTAAAAAGTCATAAAAGAAAAAATACCTCGTCGGAAAAAATAAAAAATCCGGCGAGATCTTTATGAGGAAGAAAAATCAGAAAATAAAAATCTCGACTGAGGTAGGAAGAAGAGAGCAATGTTTGAAGTCAGTTCTTAGCGGTTTATGTACCCTTAACTGGAATACAATGGCTGTCATTCCATTATGAGATGATCTTCTTACCATTTCTGACCACGAATTTCGGGCCAATTCTTCTTTCTGACACATCTTTGCCCTCATAACTTTCCGCTTGCAACATTACTCATGTCCTTCAGTAAATTACTATCCGCTTTAACAAAATTCTCAATAATTTCTTCCTTTACTTTTTTGTCTTCACCTTTCCTACCGAATTATTCTTCAGACTCAGGTCGATTTTAGTCCTGGGTATGATGATAAACTACGTCCGGCAACAATGCCTCTGATCAAGTGATTAGATGCTTTGATGAGTGTGGAACCACTGAGTAATTGATGTTGGTCCCAGGTTCATATAATGCATGGCTTTGTTTTAAGTTTCCTTTCCTGATTTTCTTTTTCAAATTATTTTCTTATTTCACTTTTATCCTTTTCGTTTACCTATATTTTATTTCTCCTCCTCTTCCTCTTCCCCATCTTCCTCCTCCTCCTCCTTCTTCTTCTTCTTCTTCTTTGTCATCGATACCATCGTCCGTTTTTAATTCAAATCTACTTTCTATTCTTGTTCTTGTGCTTGTTCTTCTTCTTCTTCTTCTTCTTCTTCTTCTTCTTCTGTCTTTTCCTCCTCGTGTTCTTTACCTTCCCCCGTTTGTCCTTAAATTCTTCTTTTTTTCTTTTTCTTCACCTCTTCTTCTTCCGTGTTCTTCACCTCCTCCTCTTCTTCTTCAGTCTTCTTCTTCTTCTTCGTCCTCCTCCTCCTCCTCCTCCTGTTCTTTACCTTCCTCCGTTTCCTCATTAAATTCTTCTTTTTTCTTTTTCTTCTCCACCTTTTCTTCTTCTTCCGTTTTCTTCTTTTCTGTCTTCTTCTCCTTTTCATCATCGTGTTCTTTACCTTCCTCCATTTGTCATTAATTTTTTTTTCTTTTTCTTCTCCACCTCTTCTTCTTTCATCTTCTTCACCTCCTCCTCTTCTTCTTCAGTCTTCTTCTTCTTCTTCTTCTTCTTCTTCTTCTTCTTCTTCTTCTTTTCTTCTTCTTCTTCTTCTTCTTCTTCTTCTTCTTCTTCTTCTTTTCATCTTCCTTCTTCTGTCTTCTTCCTTTCTTCTTCTGTTTTTCTTCTTCATTTCTTCTTCTTCTTCTTCTTCATTTTTTTTTTTTCTTCTTCTGTCTTCTTCTCCTTCTTCTTCTGTTTTCTTCTTCTCCTCCTCTTCTTCTTCAGTCTTCTTCTTCTTCTTCTTCTTCTTCTTCTTCTTCTTCTTCTTCTTCTTCAGTCTTCTTCTTCTTCTTCTTCCTTCTTCTTCTCTTTCTTCTTCTGTTTTCTTCTTCAGTCTTCTTCTTCTTCTTCTTCTTCTTCAGTCTTCTTCTTCTTCTTCTTCAGTCTTCTTCTTCTTCTTCTTCTTCTTCTGTCTTCTTCTTCTTCTTCTTCTTCTTCTTCAGTCTTCTTCTTCTTCTTCTTCTTCTTCTTCAGTCTTCTTCTTCTTCTTTCTGTTCTTGTCCATCCACCGTTTGTCATTCAATTCTACATTCTTCTTTCTTTTTCTATTTTTTTAAAAGAATTATTTAGAATTTTCCATTCATTTCTTCGAAATCTACCAGTTAACAATGAATTGATTTTAATTTGCCCTTTTTCTTTAGCTCGCCTTAAAACCCCTAAAAGTGATCTTTATGTGAGCTAAAGGGAGAAAAAGGATAGAAATGTAGTAATATATTTAAACTCAACTTTCTCAGGCCAGCCATCGGCATTTTCACTTTTCATATCTTAATAATGTTCATTTCATTTTATTTTATTCTTTCTTCTAAAATTAGTAATTCAAAAACGCCAAGGTAAGATGTTACTTTGAACTAAAATAATTGTTTAGAATTTTTCATTTTTCTTTGAAATTGATTTAGTAAAGTAATAATGGCTTTGGAGTAATGGATAGCGGCTCGAATTGAGCAACTGGAGAGCCGAGTTCGAATTCCAGTCGAATCCATTACATTCACTTACTTGGCAAAAGTATGAATCCTCTGTCTCTCACCAGCTATGGGTAAATGTCAGGACAGATCGGGTACTATAGACTTGGATGGCAATTGGTCTACCGCATAAAGAAATCGCAACCTAATCCATCTGCCTCGTCAGTCATGTATCACGCGTGGTACATAAATGAAAGTAATGAATTGTTATTTATTTCTCTCTTTTCTCACAGAAAGGCTCACCTCCCCACGGCAAAGAAAATACAAAAACAAAAATTGCTGATAAAGGACACCTAATCTGTGGTTGACTTGGGTAGGAAATGGCTTGTAAACTTTAATGCCTCCAAAATGAAACCTATTTAGCCACAATAGAGAACCCTCTTTGCCTCCTATCAGAATGGCTAATACCCACCAACACGAGATCGTCTCTCTGTTCCTTCTTGGTGTCACGCCTTCCGCTAATCTGTCTCATCTACCGCAAAGGTAATTTGGTTCTCTGTGGCGCGCCAGAGGGTTTTTCTCGCCTGAGTCCATCCTTCAAATCTACAAATCAACCAATCGTCCTTGCATTGAATATTGTTGCCATATATGGTCTTCTGGTGCCCCCGGTGTTATTCTCAAGGTTCTCGATAAAATCCAAAGACGGATATGCAATGTGATCGGTCCTGATCTGGCATCTCGTCTGCAGTGCCTTTCTCACAGACGTGCTGCGGTTTCCCTCTGTCTTTTCTACAAATATTTTCATGGCAACTGCTCTGACGGACTATTTTCACTAGTTCCCAAAAAGCATGAATTTAAGCGTTCTACTAGGTTGACATCTTGGTCCCTCGATTCCACTGTCGAAACAGTTAAATGTAACCGCGTCTTCTACTCCAACAGCTTCTTCCCTCGCACTTCCTTTGCTCCTACTTGTTTCCGTGATGGCGATAATCTTTAAATTTTCCAATGTAATGTCAATCGACAGTTTCTGATGTCTTCATCTTAATCCCCATGCATTTCTATATCCTTTCCTCAAACTTATTCTTAGTAAGCTCTTCTGTGCTAGTGGCACTCCCGACTTGCTTGGGGTGAAATGCTTAACCCCGCACCCCCAAAAAACACACACACACACAAAAAAGAGAACTTTTTAAACGATTGTACGTTGAATGATGTCTGTCAATCATTCTATTTTGTTCATGACGTCACTGTTTGCCAATTTCGTAACGACTATATAACCGTGTTCTCATATAATCATTTTATATTGACTTTGTTCGTCCTTCTTCTGTTCTGGCCTTTCTTGCTCGCTTTTGGTGACTTTTCACGAATTGGAACTCGATTCTATGAACTTCGTAACCTGCTTCTGTCTTCCTTTAAGGCTTGCGTCCGCTCGTCGCTTATTCTTGCTTTCTATGTGCTTCTTGTAACTTGCTTTTCCATTTAGTCTATGGATAATCTCCTCTCCAAATCTTGATCCGACATTGATTGAGTGTGACCAGTCCCAGTGACCAGCTTCCCCTACATAGCGGCAGGGAACGGGGATAAGTGGACGCAGCGGAAGAGAGAGATTTGGTTTTCCGTGAAGACATTTGCCCTGTGTCTTGTTTTAAATGGATACGCGGGAAGAGTGGGAGAAAAGAAAAAAAAAGAGTAAAGAATTGGTAGCAATAGAAGAAAAGAAGGATGGAAAGTGGTTGAAAGGGAGGAAGAAAGGGAAGTAGTAAGAGAAAGAGAATAAAAAAAAGAGAAACTAAAAGAAGAAAGTGATGTAGAATAAAGACTAAGAAGTAGGAGGAATGAAAAAGTTGGAGGAGTAGTATCAGTGGAAGAGGAAATTGAAGAAGAAAAAATTACAAGAAATATTTTGAGAGGTATGAAAATGAAGAGGAGAAAAAAGGCAAAGGAAAAGGTAAACTATTAAGAAAGAATGAAAACGAGAAGAAAAAGAAGAAATATTTTTAGAAAGAGTAGAAGGAAAGAAATTAGCGGTAAGTAAAATAATAAAGAAGAAGAAGAAGAAGAAGATGATGATGATGATGATGATGATGAAGAAGAAGAAGAAGAAGGGGAGAAAGAGATTGTAATAGACAAGAAGAAGAAGAAGAAGAAGAAGAAGAAGAAAGTGAATAAAGATGAAGAGGTTGTCAAAAGAAGAAGAAGAAGATGATGATGATGATGTTGATGATGATGATGAAGATGATGATGATGATGATGATGAAGAAGAAGAAGAAGGTGAGGAAGAGATTGTAATAGACAAGAAGAA